AACTTGAGAAATCCCTTTACGGCCTTAAAGCAGCATCAAGGAATTGATATATTAATTTTTAAGAGACCTTATTGAAAGTTGGCTTTGTGCCTAACCAGGAGAATTATGTCAAGGTCAGTAGAAGTGATGTTGTATTTAACTACTTGTATGTGGATGGCATGTTATTTGCCAGTAATTCGATGAGTATCGTATTGAGAACAAAACCTTTCTTCTCATAAGATTTCGATATGAAAGATATTGGAGAGGCATCATATATTTTGGGAATCAAGATCCTTAGAAATAGGAGAGAGGGAACATTTAGTTATCTCAAGAGAGCACTATAAGAAAATACTGGAAGTATTTGAAATGAATAATTGTCGGCCCATATTAGCCCCCCCATTGATAGCAAGACCAAGTTAAATCTATACTTGTGTCCCATAAGTTCAAAAGAAAAAGGGGACATGCAAAGAATCCTATACAGAAGTGTAGTTGGGTCATTAATGTAAGCTATCTTAGGGACAAGAGCAGACTTATCAGTTGCTATGAGTGTGATTAGCAGGTTCCAGAGTATTTTGGGCATGGAGCACTAGAAGGCAATTTAAAAAGTTCTGTGAAATTCAAAGGGAATGGTTCTTCATACATTCACCTATGGAAGATGCTCAAACATACAAACACAAGGATATTCAGACATAGACTATCAGGGCGATCTAGATGAGATGAAATCCACATCTGGGATGTATCTTCATACTTGCCAATGGAGCTGTTTGCTAGTTATCTAAGAAACAGGATGTTGTTGCACTCTTGACTATGGAATCAGATATGTAGCTTGTTGTACAGTAGAAAAAGAAGCAGTTTGGTTGAAGAAGTGAATCAACTTAGATTTGATCTAATAAAGCACCATGTGTAAGAATCATCTGTGACAACTAGGCGGCGGTTTGTGTGGCCGAAGATCCATAATTTCATAAGAAATCAAGGCATATTAAGGCAGACTACTACCACATTCACTACGAGATCCTAGCAGGAGAGATCGAGGTTGTTTATCCCCTGAAAGAGGCTATGTTAACAGATCCTTTGACAAAAGGATTGTTGGCAAATGTATTTGCCAAGCATGTACATGGGATGGGCTTGAAAAAGATTCAGAGGGAGTGATTGCATAGCCTTTAAAGGCTAAGTCGGAGATGTTGGGGTTTTGTGGCCTTTAGACTGTGAAAGCTTGTAAAAAGTGGATTGTACACTTCAGTGAGAGTGTGTGTTGGTTGAGTGACCAAGGGTTTGGCGGTGTATGTCCATGGTCATGTCTAAAACCCTAACCCCTTGTGCATGGGGCACTACCGAAAAGGGTTTACAGAGGGACATCCCTTGTTGAGGTTGGAGAGATACCCAGGGATGGATTGTAGGCCAAGAGAGCTGTGTGGTCTCCATTGTGTAGATGTAGGTTTGTGAGTGCGAGGGCTAAATCCTCAATAAACTTCCGCACGATATGTACATATGTCAGCCACTCTACCTCGAAGCAAAGGGGTTACATATACATGTTCATGAAGAGTCCCTTTTGCACTGTAGTAATATGTGCTTGACTTGCTCTTAAGGGGGGGAACATGTAATCCATATTTCTGGACCATGGTTCTACTGTTTATTGGGCAGCTTTGATGAGCCAATCATGAACCCCTATATGAAACTGTGGGTCATGGGTCTCGTTGGGTTGGTTTGAGAAGGCAGTCTTGGATCATAGTTCCTGGGTCGAGTGGAATGCCTTGATAGTCACTTATCTTGACCCACTAGTACTAACCCAGTTCTAGGTATTTTATTTTCAATGTTAAAAATATGTTCGTGAACTTTGGAAGTTTTTCGGAATTTTTGAAATTATTTCCAGCAGTTAAATACTAAAAAGGGTGTTTCTAAAATTTTAATTGTGTGGAGGGGAACATATGGGGCCCTTGGATCTAGCCCCCACATGTGTGCAACAACCCATGGGTGGGGCATGGTGCCACACCTCACTCATGAGGTGGCACGCCCCCCTTTATATTTTTTTCATATTATTTTTTGTTTAAAAATATTGGGTAGTTAAATGAAATAACTTTTGAAAGGATATTGTGTCCTTATTTTGTGGGAGGTGGTTTTTGATAACTTGTTTGACCAAAATATTTTATTGTTAGACTTCGTACAATTTGAAAAGAGATAAAAGGAGGTTCTAGAAGGTTATGGATTGGTCTTATCTAGTCTGACTAGAAGTGGATATGGGTCACATATTTAAGGGATAAGGTTATTAATATTCCTCCCTAAATCATGATAGTTGATTTATGTGATGGATGAAGTTGATTTATGTGATGGATGAGTCAAATTTAATTCTCAGGGATAAGGTTCGTAGCATTCTTCTTTAAATCATGATAGCTGATTTATGAGATGCATGAGTCAAATTTAATTCTCTCTCGCGTCAGAGATTTCCTAAAATCCTAGTGGTTCTGATGAGTCATAATTGGAGAAGTAATACCTTGGGGGGGGGGGGTTTGAGGCCTATGTAAGGAGGGGATCCCCTTCATTCTCTACACAATTCCCAAGCCTCTATCTCTCTTGATTTCTCTCTCATCCAGATCCCACTCTCCCCTTTCATCTCATCTCTCTAGCTCTCTCTCTTCTCTGTCTCTAGGTGGCAAGCCACCCATAAGAACAAGGGGCGGTACGCATGCCCAGTCTTAGAAAAGGGTGGTGTCTTGTGGCATATGCCTTAATTGTTTTAAAAGGGGTGCCATTAAACCCTAAATGTATTTTATGCTCTCTAAAACCCTAGTTTGAGAGTTATTGCCTAAGGAAGCTTCTTAGCTCAAAAAATTCAGCAAGACCAATAAGATTAGAGTGCGCCATCAGTAAGAAAATTGGGTGTGTGGTGTACTAAATTCTATGGGGGTGACCCTAGGCATATTCGATCAAGTCTTCCCAGCTGTTTGCTTTTATTTTTCATTCCTATTTGCACTTTTATTTTTCATTCATATTTGCATATTTTCTTGAATTCTCAGGAACATTATTTGTACCAAATTTGTTAATGGAAATTTAGTATTCATTCCTGGATTGTGTCTATTCAATTTGGCAGTAAAAGCAAAGGTCCTAGGTTGCATTTAGGGTTTTAATTGTCATTTACAACGATGTATTGTGGCACTTGTAAGTGGAATTCAAATTTATTTTCATAGCCTTGAGTTTCACATTGCTACTTCTTTAGGAACCTCAAATATTGAGATTTTATCATGAATGTATACTTGACTAGCTAGGAACAAAAATAGTGAATACCAATCATAATTAGTGTCAGAAAATAAAGTAGAAAAGCGCAAAAACCTTAAGAAGACACAAGACACTTAGTTCAGCTCATAGGGACTGCGTCTGTAGGCATGAAAATAGGATTGTGAGAGTTACATCACTAATCTTGGGGCATAAAAGTAACTCTCTACTCCTTCCCTATCCAACATCCATTTTAAACAACTCTCCCAAGCAGCAACACCACCGATCACTCATCTCTTTCGTACTGTTAAACAGCTACCTTTGAGTACTAGACATCGAGGCATGGGCAATGAGAAACTAACTTTTTTTAAAGGGAGATACTGTCCAAAACCTCATTGGGAAATTCTTCTCTACGATGAAGCAGTATGTCTTGCAACAAGAGTCACCATCACATTGTTTCTATCTATCTGAAGCTTCGCTTGTCTCTTTTTTGAATGCCCCACCTTTATGCAAGTAACCCCTACCTCTCTATTGGAAACCCCCCTTTCCCACTTGGTGATCCCAACTAGGGCACACATTTCATCTCTCATCTCTTACTTGTATGGAAACAATCTGAAGGGATGCACGTTGAAACTAGAGAGGATACACGCCATCTCTAGGTTCCCAATGTGATGGGATCTAGCTTATTAAAATAATCAAACCAAATCCCTTTCAATGAGGTAGTTCTTCGAAGCGGTGGTTTTGTCTATCACTGCCTCCAACAACCTCCACCTTGATCAAAATCACTTACTTGCTGTGCTAACACCCATCTCCTTCCTATTGCTAAGCTACTGAGCACTAGTTGTTAGAGATGCGAGAAGTATGAGAAGCTTTCTCTCTCATAAAGGGTTACTGCCCTGAATATCTCTCAGTAGGAGGTACTAGCACACTGCTTTTCTCCATAGGAGACACTTCTTTTTCTCTACCGGCCCTGCCTCTATGTGTTGGATGCCCCTCTCTCTCCCTAGAATGCACGTTTGTCTATATATGAGAGAGAGAGAGAGAGAGAGAGAGAGAGAGAGAGAGAGAGAGTAGTTAGGAGACGACCACATACGTAACCTTCCCTTCTACGTAAGTAACTCTCGTACGGACGTCTTCGTCGTTACGACGAAGGACGGTACCTCCTACCGTCCG